GAGTAGAAGCGGTTCAGGTCATGAACTGATCGATTCATCTGATGGGTACATGGATTAATCATAGTTAATCACTTTTGGTTACTGGATAAGGAAAAAAAACTGGTGCACACCTCCCTGCCTGTAGGAAGGAGACAATACAAGCTACAACTGCTCTGTGTTGAGCGGTTGTTTGTTCTGATGGGTGTCCATTTGTTTCAGATTTGCAATTGTTCTAGTGATGCTTATTGAAGCCGTGACTGCTTGTTGGTGTTTTTTTTTTTGTATTTCTTGAAGCAGGGGAAAGTTGTGGAATTACATAATCTTGTATGGTTGACAGTTAGTATATTGTTGCCGCTGTTAGTTGTTGTTTTTGGACATTCTTCAATGGTTGGTTGTTTAGTAGTGGTGCTCGGAATCTTCCATTTCCGAGGTTTTTCATGATTTGTCTCCCTTATGAATGAACTTTCTGGATTACATCCTTCTATATCTTGTCCCAAAAGAGTCGAGTGAGTATTAAGTTTTCGTTACTTGTAAAACGGGTCGTGTGATATGATACATTACATATACAATCACCTTTGATGGGGTGTATGAGTTTTATCATGTAGTGTGTCAGTGTTCATCTTTTTTCGTCTCGGTTTCACATTTTCAATCCTCTTGTTTGAATGCAGTACCTCGATGAGAACAAAAAACTGATCATGGCGATTTTGGAAAATCAGAACCTCGGGAAACTTGCGGAATGCGCTCAGTAAGTGGGCATTCTAAATTTTACTCGGGGGGGAATATTCGTATATAGCTCTGTTTTTCTTTCCCCTCTTTGATTGTGTTTGTATTCTCGAGCTTAGTGTTTTGCTCGATAATTTTTGGCCAGTAATCTTGAGCTGTGAACCACGGGTTTGTTTCTGGTACCAACATGTGAAATCAGATTTCATCTGCTTCAAATAATTAGTTCCTGATCTGCTGAGACATTATATAGTTAAAAGCTTTGCAATTTTATCCTGTAATGAAGAATGCTGTTGTCTGAATGATTATGAATTAAGTAAAGCACAATTCTTCCTTCTTGTATACATATATAAGGTATCAAGCTCTTCTCCAGAAGAACTTGATGTATCTGGCTGCAATTGCCGACGCTCAACCTCAGTCCTCCGCTCCACCACCTGCCCCGGCCGTGGCTCCCCAGGTGACCGAGACCTCTCCCCGCGTCGAATTTGCTTCTTGTTAATGGTTACCGGTCAATCTCAATATCGTGTTAATTCACAAATCTGTAACGTTTTCAAAATGCATTTGAATCAAGAAGGATAATACTGCTACTCCCATCCATATTATATTATGCAGATGGCTCCTCATCCCGGAATGCAACCACAAGGCTACTTCATGCAACAGGCACAACCCGGGATATTCCCTCTGAGAGGTCCTTTCCCTCCTCATCAGCTTCAGGATCCACAAGCCATGCAAGGGCCCGTCGGCATCAGACCCATGGGGATCAACCACAATGCCCTTCATCACCACCCCGTAACCACTCCCGGAAATGGTTGGTGTGTGTGTGTATATATATATATATGTATATGTATATATAAAGTCTTGTTCTTTGTGACTCTCTGCTTTAGATTTACTCTTTCCAGTTTATGTGCCATTAATATTTGCCATCCATCCCTAATGCTCATATCCATTATCCACTGATATTTCTTTCCGGTTTCTGTGCCATAGTGGGAAGCAAACAAGATGGGTCTGATGCGGGTCAAGGTGGATCGGCCACCAGACATGGACATGGCCATGGCCATGTCGATGGAAGAGATAATGGGAAATGAAGGGACAAGAAGAAGTATCCGAACAAAAGTTGCTTGTGTTGATATTTAGGATCTATGCTTCTCTTCTGGGTCCTAGCTAGAAAGTTATCCACAACGTGGTGGTAGTCTCTAGGGTTTTTGAAAATGACGGTCGAGGACTAGGAGGATGTGAAATCTGTAACGTTTTGTTGTATGGTTTAATTAGAACCGGTTCGGTTTGGTGCATGAACCGGTTTAGGATTCATGTCAATTCATCCACTTGGGGTAATGCTGCGGGAAATGGGTTTTTATGATGACAACGAGGTTTTAGAATTTAGTTGGATTTTGATGATTCTACATTTTCTCCGATGGAAAAAAAAAGTAGCGGTTGAATGTTTCTTATGGAATATGGACAACGGGTAGTATTTAAATATGAAGGAAATCATTACGTTTAAGTGAAATCTGCCTAAACTCTATAAATTGAATTTAATCAAATGATCTACTCATATTTCAATGTAAGAGTTTCTCGATTCGGTTTAAATCTAAGTTAAATAATTCAAACAATCGAATAACACGATACAATAGAAATATATGGTTTTCGAAAGAAAGATTTAATTATGTTCGTAATGAGTGAGATGGTGGAATAATTTAAAAAGCGAGCGGCGTTTTGGACACCCAATGGGACGGGTCCTCCTCTTTCCATTTCTTCCACGCTCAAAATTCCACTCTCCATCATTCCATTTGCTTTACTATCAATTTGATATATGGAATAATAATAACAACCTATATGTCCATTTGTTTCAGATTTGCAATTGTTCTAGTGATGCTTATTGAAGCCGTGACTGCTTGTTGGTGTTTTTTTTTTTGTATTTCTTGAAGCAGGGGAAAGTTGTGGAATTACATAATCTTGTATGGTTGACAGTTAGTATATTGTTGCCGCTGTTAGTTGTTGTTTTTGGACATTCTTCAATGGTTGGTTGTTTAGTAGTGGTGCTCGGAATCTTCCATTTCCGAGGTTTTTCATGATTTGTCTCCCTTATGAATGAACTTTCTGGATTACATCCTTCTATATCTTGTCCCAAAAGAGTCGAGTGAGTATTAAGTTTTCGTTACTTGTAAAACGGGTCGTGTGATATGATACATTACATATACAATCACCTTTGATGGGGTGTATGAGTTTTATCATGTAGTGTGTCAGTGTTCATCTTTTTTCGTCTCGGTTTCACATTTTCAATCCTCTTGTTTGAATGCAGTACCTCGATGAGAACAAAAAACTGATCATGGCGATTTTGGAAAATCAGAACCTCGGGAAACTTGCGGAATGCGCTCAGTAAGTGGGCATTCTAAATTTTACTCGGGGGGGAATATTCGTATATAGCTCTGTTTTTCTTTCCCCTCTTTGATTGTGTTTGTATTCTCGAGCTTAGTGTTTTGCTCGATAATTTTTGGCCAGTAATCTTGAGCTGTGAACCACGGGTTTGTTTCTGGTACCAACATGTGAAATCAGATTTCATCTGCTTCAAATAATTAGTTCCTGATCTGCTGAGACATTATATAGTTAAAAGCTTTGCAATTTTATCCTGTAATGAAGAATGCTGTTGTCTGAATGATTATGAATTAAGTAAAGCACAATTCTTCCTTCTTGTATACATATATAAGGTATCAAGCTCTTCTCCAGAAGAACTTGATGTATCTGGCTGCAATTGCCGACGCTCAACCTCAGTCCTCCGCTCCACCACCTGCCCCGGCCGTGGCTCCCCAGGTGACCGAGACCTCTCCCCGCGTCGAATTTGCTTCTTGTTAATGGTTACCGGTCAATCTCAATATCGTGTTAATTCACAAATCTGTAACGTTTTCAAAATGCATTTGAATCAAGAAGGATAATACTGCTACTCCCATCCATATTATATTATGCAGATGGCTCCTCATCCCGGAATGCAACCACAAGGCTACTTCATGCAACAGGCACAACCCGGGATATTCCCTCTGAGAGGTCCTTTCCCTCCTCATCAGCTTCAGGATCCACAAGCCATGCAAGGGCCCGTCGGCATCAGACCCATGGGGATCAACCACAATGCCCTTCATCACCACCCCGTAACCACTCCCGGAAATGGTTGGTGTGTGTGTGTATATATATATATATGTATATGTATATATAAAGTCTTGTTCTTTGTGACTCTCTGCTTTAGATTTAGGTTGTATGAGTCGGATATCCAGAAATTTGAGGGTCTCCGAATCCGAATATCCCGGGTTATGTATTTTATATATATATATATATATATATATATATATATATATATATATGCGTATATATATATGTATGTGTGTGTGTGTGGAAAAAAGAAAAAGAAACTGAAGAAAAATTAAATGAAATCGTCAAACATACCCCACAAAAAAGCGAGGATACTCATATAGCCACCACCATTACTCGGTTTAATACAGACCAAAAAATTTAAAACATATTCGTGTTTGGATCGTTTTTGTGCCTTGTCGGCATCATTCATATGCACTAGTGGCAGCAGACTTTGAAAATAAGGTTACGCTTCGCAAAAATATTTACTTAGATATATATCTTGGTTGAATTTTTTAATTTTAATAAATTATATTCAGACCAAATTAAGATATGTGATTTTCTATTTCGATTTTTTTTTTGTGTGTGTGTGTGGTATAAGCCTATACTGTATTTTAATCATGTGTACTTATTATACTTCTCATAATCTCTCTTCCTTAATGTACAACAAATAGCATCTTTACAATTGCAACCCTATACATAATTTGATATATGGAATAATTAATAACCAATATATATATATATATAATTGTATCAAGCATCATATGATATTTTCGCACGTAACAAAACAGTCGATTTATTTACATTTTCTTCTTCTTCAAAAAAGAAAAAAGGATGATAAGATGAATATGTTACAAACTCGATCTGCATGGATTCATTCACGCCAAAGCTTTTTTTTTTTAAAAAAAAAAAATCAAACCCTAAAACAACCAACAGCATGGGTATGGTGGTGGTGGTGGCGATGAGTGAGGGATTTTTCTCGATCGATCAGGCCTCTAACGTGCCGAAACTCTTCGACGTGGCAAGGGATAGTGATGGTTCCCTTCTGATTGAAACCGAACTCTTCTTCAGCTTCCTTCAACAGCTGTCCGAACAATGGATGGTTGAAGTACATCACTGGTATCACGAATCTCTCTTGCTCATCCCCTTGCCCCACCTTCACTGCCAAACACCCCTTTGGGACCTTCTCATGATGGTGGTGATGGTGTAGACGAGGGATGTGAAGACGGAAGCTACCCATGCCTTTGTTGATGAGTTCGATCGGTGTTCTCGCTAGGGTTTCCATGACTTCTCCATGTCTTTCTTTCTTTCTTTCTTTCTTTTTTTTTCCTGGAAAATTTTGGCCTAGAAAGTGAAGGAAAATTGCCAAGGTTCTTGGAGGATTAATGTGCAAGGGATGTGGAGGTAGGCTTGCTTGTTAGACATTTCTTTGAAGATACGGGACTCTTTGGTCTGATCCACAGATACGGGGTATATATACAATATATAATATAATTAAAGGGATTGATTACAAAAAAAAGAAAATGATTTATTTGTTTTTTTTTCGTGGACGGAGTTTTTGGATGCGATTTTCTAAATGTTAAATTAGAAAAGAATATTTAATTTACTTGAATACTAAACGGTCAAATTTTAATGTTTTCATGATACTTAGCAAACTTTTATGAGAAAAAAAATCTTTTTTAAGCGAATAAATTTTCGGGATGGAGGTAAATTTGGAAAACACACCACCTAACTCATATCTAACTTGGTTAGTTCAACCGATAAAATAGAAACACAATTTATCTATTTCATCTTGAATTCGAACCTCAAATTAGAGAGAGAAAACGTAAATTCTAATCGCACAACTTGTTCTTGATCTGGGGATTAATGTGAGTCTCGGCTCAGGACACATAAAAAACAATCTAACTCATTTATAAAAAAAAACTGTTTTTTCCAATAAATAACAAACCTCATTGAATTTATATTTTTATTAAACGCTATCTCTAAATTTTTTATTGAGGGTGAATATCATTTTAGGAACAAATAGGCCCCCACCGATCGATTTAATAAATTTATATTTCAATAAAAAAAAACAATAACAAAACCGTGGAAAAAATTTAGCCAAGTGGGGGGAGAAAAAGATTGGTAAGAAGAACCATCCAAAGTGGCTTGGTGGGTCTTCTATTTTCCTTTGAAATTATTAAATAACCAAATAATTTTTTTTATTATATAAAAAAAAGTCAAAAGCTAGCGTTTGATGTACATACTTGGATTCTCTCACATAGTTTGCCTTTACGATAAAGGCTAGTAATATGACTTTACTTTTGTTACGATATATCATGTGATATACACCGAAATTTATTCTCACACACATTGGTTTTGGTACGTCTTTAACACGATATTAATCAGAAAAAAAATTAACATATGAAAATCTAATTTTAGATTTAATGATATAATCTAATGATCTAATTGCAAAGTTGAACTCGAAATTCCGATGGACTTGGTGGGGGTAATTTAATTTCATTTTTATTTGTTTAAACATATAAATTAAAGAAAATGCCACTTTTTGGTGGGATCCGTGGGAGTACTACATATTATGGTACAAGGAATTGCCAATCAGACATTGTTGGGAGATATCTATCACTTGGGGAATGGAATCTAATCTATTGGTTTATTTAATTTATTTTTTAGGTAAACTCTCACTTCGAAGTTCATATAGAATACGTATTTCTTAAAAAAAATATAGAATACTTTATTATTTTTTTAATATTCGCTATAATTTGATTTTTTTTTTACGTATAAATATTGCTTGAGGATGGTATATTTAAAGCGGCGAAGAAATTTTAGAATATTTGAAATATTTTGAAATGCGAAAATCAAATTGAAAATCCGGATACCCTTTATAGCATGGGATCGCATATAGTATATAATGAGATTATAAAATCATAACGTCGTATGTATGTATGTATGTATGTATGTATGTATGTATGTATGTATGTATGTATGTATGTATGTATGTATGTATGTATGTATGTAAGCCTTGGGCCGTTTGGGCCGTTAAGTAGAAGCCCAATAATCATTTTAGTATGATTTTAGTAAAACGCGTGACACGACTCTCAGACTAATTGGGCCTAAGAAACGAAGGCCCATTGAAGAATCATACTGTTCAATAGTCTTTTTAATCGGACGGTTGCGGCAGAGCCAGGCGACACAACCGATTATCGATCCAACGGCGGAGGATGAACGTCCAGAGACACGTAATAAAGAACAGTTCGCTTAAGTTCAAGACAATCGGATTCGTCTCTCGTTTTCCAGTGCTTTCGTATCGACTTGAAGTTTCTCGCCCTTTGATTTCCCCAACCCTTGTTTTTCAGTCTCTAATCGTTCACCGGGTAGGTTTGATTTTGGATGATTTCGCATCTTTCACCCTTTTTTCCCCGACGATTCAACCGTTCTTTCCAACTGCGTTACCAGATATTTACGAATGCTTTTCAATTGCTTACCAAGTTCTTTTAATGGATATGATTCTTCGTCTTTTACATGGTGTGCTTGTGCTTATAGCTAAGAGGGGTTTTCCTGTGATATAGATGATGAGACCACTTTTCGTGGGAAACTTCGAGTATGACACTCGTGTTTCTGAGTTGGAGCATTTGTTCCGCAAATATGGGAGAGTGGAGCGTGTAGACATGAAATCCGGTATGTTCTACAGCTTTTGTACCGTTTCCACATCTAAATTTTCTTGCCTTGAACTGGGTTTTTGTTGATGTACCCATTGGACCGTGTGCTGATCTCTGTTTGCGACTATCTTTTGATTACTTAGTCTTAACGACATGGGTTTTTGTGTCTGTTCAAGATGAAGCTTTGTATCTAACCGTAGAAACACAAAGTTAGGGGTATATGTATAGTTTATGTGTTAGATTTGCTGGAGAGTGATGGAAATACGATCTTACAGCTCGGATTTTTTTTTTCTCGAGTCACTGTGTCTGGTGTTGGGGATGATTCCTTTCTCTTGGATAAACAAGTATTTTGTTTTTACAAGTCGAGATATTTCCTCTTCTTCCTAGCATGAACATTTGTGTCTGTGGTGATCTTTTTAGTGAAAGAGAAGCTCTGGATTAACTGTTTTGTGTTGATTTTATGGACTTTGTTGTTCTAAGCCATCGAGTTCTTATCCGATGGCATCTTCTATTGCAATGCACGTAATTCATTGTCTGCTTTCTGCCTCCCTTCGTCCATTCTCAGATGGCATCTTCCCGAGTCTAGTGAACCGACCTACCTGTCTCATTGCTTACCGTTTCAAAAAAGTGGCCGTGGTGGGGAAGAGTGCAACTACCTTGTCATGCCTTCTACCTCCACATTCTATGGAGGATCAAATGAAATCTGTCATGCAATGTCTGAAATTTTGTGCTGTCTGAATGCTGAAGCATGCTTAGCAATGTCGTCTCATCTCAGGACTTTACACTTGGGAATTAGGCCCTTTTAATATGCTACACCTTCTTGGTTTAGTATCTCATTCATCACACGCCATGACTCTGCTCCTTTCATCAGCCCTACACGTTCATGCAGGTGCTGTATAAAACTTTAGTCTTTGTCAGGACAGAAACGAACCCTTTTGATGGGCGCAGCAGCTCGGAAATGGTACTCGTGTCATTCCAGAGACCTTTCATTGATATCTGGTTTCTCTGAAATGCCATTGCAGGATATGCTTTTGTATGTTTCGAGGATGAGCGTGATGCAGAGGATGCAATTCGAGGCCTTGACAATATACCGTTTGGTTACGAAAGGCGAAGGCTTTCAGTCGAGTGGGCAAAGGTGGGTGGTGGGTCTGTGTTATATGATCCGACTGTTGATTTCCGACAATTATTTGAAATGAAACGTGTTTTCTTTAACAGGGAGAGCGTATCAGACCTCGTGATGATAGGTTTCTTGGAAATCAGAAACCTACAAAGACATTGTTTGTTATAAACTTTGACCCGATCCACACGAGGGAGCGCGACATATTCAGACACTTTGACCGATATGGCGAAGTGCTTAACGTTAGAATTCGGAGGAACTTTGCGTTTGTTCAATTCGCTACACAGAACGACGCTACAAAAGCCCTCGAGTGTACACAAAGGAGGTAACTTTAGTCTATTCTCTTCTCCCTCATTGTAACTTCCCATCTGGGTATCTTTAATTTCTTTACAAAAAATTAAAATGTAAGGCATTGTGGCTTTGCAGCAAGTTACTGGACAGGGTTATATCAGTTGAATATGCTCTAAGGGACGACGACGATAGGCACAATAGAGGAAGCTATGGAAGGTCTCCAAGCCCGGATTACCACAGGAGGCCGAGTCCTGATTACGGTCGACGGCCTCTTAGTCCTGAGTACGAAAGGTACATGGGTTCATCGAGCAGGACCAAGAGCCCGAGCTATGATCGATACAGAAGGTAAGATCTTTGTTTCAGATCTGTCCTTGACATTCCTTGTAAACTGTTTTTCTTTTTACCAAAGACCTTTTTTGTTGTTGTCTCCTTTAACAGCCGATCTCCACTTCTGAGGAAGTGATGAAACATAACGGAGCTGAACTGAAGAAGACAGGAACCGAGCTTGGTTTTGTACTGCATACGAGGGTGGCTTATATATAAAGCGATATAAATATATGTAGTGAAAAATATGTGGTTTTTAGAAGTGAAAACGTTTTGGAGATTTGGGTGAGAGCTTTGTTGTACTTTTGCCATGGATGGTTTGAAGAACACGGTAATGTTTAATCCACCCTTTGTAAAAAATATATATGCCACTTGCTGGTCCATCGATTGTATCCTTTTCAAGATCTTAATCTTCATTATCCGTTTTGGACTCAATCGCTGATTTATATGAATCTCAACGAAATTTATGGAAAAAAATCGAAAATTTGCTGAGCAATCGATTTGGTTGCCAATGTATTGGATTATCTGGTATCTTACAGAAACGTAGGGGTATGAAGTTTGAATAAATAAAAGTTACGGGGGGCAAACCGAGAATTTCTAAAACATCGAAACTCCCCTCTTAAATCCGCAGCCGTCGAGTGGTTCCCGGCCGGAAAGAAACAAATCTCCGAGTCGATTCCGGGGAGCAACAACGGCGAGTCAGCGACGGCGATTGATTCAACACCAAAACCGTAATCGAATCATCCGGGTCAGTTGCAAACTCTCTCTCTCTCTCAGTTTGTTTATTTGTTCGTGGAATGGCGATGTGAACGGTGGATTGAGATCGTTCGATGGCGAAAAACTTCGAATTGATTACTGGGACTGGGATTCAATCCGGGTATTTGGGTTTTGAATCAGGGAAGATGGAATTTTGCCCAACATGTGGGAATATGTTACGGTACGAGAGGAGGGGAGGTTCTAGATTCTTCTGTATGACATGTCCGTACATCGCCTGCATTAAGCGACAGGTTACTACTTCTAAACTTCACTACTTTCACAGCTTTTCTAGGTCTTGCGATTTTCTTTTCTGTGAGAAAGTTTCAAGCTTTCGTAACTCGGATTCCACAGGTAGAGATAAAGAAGAAGCAACTTCTTGTTAAGAAACCCTTAGACCCTGTCGTGTCTAAAGAAGATATACCAAAGGGAGATGAAACTGAAGGTATTGTATTGCCTTTTCTGTTCATTTTGATTGTGTTCATTGTTCTGTTATCCTGTAATTCTGTAAATCTGGCTGGCTTATATGTTTTAATCGCTGGATACTCTGCCTATAAGAGATGGGTCTGATACACATCTGTTCTTGGGGGAGTAAAGCTCAAAATGGTTTTTCCTCGACTTGAACACTTCAGCCTTTAATTTCCCATTTTTTGCTTGGAGAACCCAAAAAAAATGCCCATCTGGAGCTGATCTTATTACTTCATTGTTAAATATATCTGGTCTTGACTGCTCAAGGGCAGGCATTTTACCGAAGTTTTCTTCCTTTTCTTTCTCTTACACAAGGATCACTTCTGCCTTACTAATGCATTACTTGTTTGGATCTTGGTTCGTCAGCTGTATGCCCGAGATGCAACCACGACAGAGCATACTTCAAATCAATGCAGATTCGCTCAGCTGATGAGCCGGAGTCGAGATTTTACAGATGCTTGAAGTGTGAATTGACTTGGCGTGAGGAATAAGTGGCTTCAACCCTAGTGCCTAAACGTTTTCACCTCATCAAAATTTTGATACAGTCCCCAACCCTCTTGCTTTAAAATGTATTTTCTGCCTTTTTTTGTCAACTCGTGAACATTTTTTTTTTGTGCGATGATGATTGATGAGTGTGCATTTCAATTCCTCTTGAATTCCCATCTTCAAGTCGTTACTATTCCTCTTCGTTTCTCCGATTACTGCATTCTCTCTAACAGACATTCTTCAATGGTGTTTTCGACATTGAAGAGAATTTCATATATGATATTGAGCTCAGTGCATTGTCATCTCTTCAAAACAGTGATGATCAGAAACCCATGGAAATGGACAGATCTTACACAGACAGGTCCAATCTTGGAAGATGGTTGAATAAATGTAAAAGCTTTTGTCTTTTTCCTGTTTAGTTTGCTTCGTTTCGGCAACGTAATACGTCTTGAACGTATACGACATCGTATCGCTTACATGTGTCTTCAATTCCGCGATCTGACTGTTAACGATAACAGTGTCTGCCTTCGTCTTCTTCCCCTCTCCTCCATATACTCATCTGCTCCAAGATTCTGACTTTCTTCCGGAAACAATGTCTCCTTTCTCGGGAAAGGAACAGAGGAAGAAGGCGGACCTAGCCGCGGTGCTGCGCAAGTCGTGGTATCATTTAAGGTTGTCGGTGCGACATCCAGAAAGGGTTCCGACATGGGACGCCATCGTTCTTACGGCAGCTAGTCCCGAACAGGCTGAGCTTTACGAGTGGCAGCTCCGCCGGGCGAAGCGGATGGGTCGGATCGCCAGCTTCACCGTCACTCTCGCCGTCCCTGATCCAGACGGGAAACGGATCGGCTCCGGCGCCGCCACTCTCAACGCCATTCACGCTCTTGCTCGGCATTACGAGAATCTAGGATTCGATTCTGGCCCCGAGGTAAACTATGTCGACGGATTTGATAGTTCATAACTCATGGTGAACGTTTAGACAGAGAATCTGGAGCTTGTACGTCGTCATGAAGGGTTGATCTGGAATGGACGAAACTTTGTCAGATCAAGAATCTGGGTTTCGCCCCCGGCCCCGCCACTCTCAACGCCATTCACGCTCTTGCTCGGCATTACGAGAATCTAGGATTCGATTCTGGCCCCGAGGTAAACTATGTCGACGGATTTGATAGTTCATAACTCATGGTGAACGTTTAGACAGAGAATCTGGAGCTTGTACGTCGTCATGAAGGGTTGATCTGGAATGGACGAAACTTTGTCAGATCAAGAATCTGGGTTTTGCATTGTGCTGCCATATCTCTGGCTTCAATGATCTGGAAAATCATAACGTCTACTTGATTTGTTTATTCGATGTAGAACTGTAGTGTTGATTTATTTGAGCATTAGGGTTGATGATCATGTTGATAACCATCAGGTTGAAATCTCAAACGGTAGAAGTAATGGGTCCTCTGTTCCGGATGAGAAAATGTCTCGAGAGGACTCTTGGGTTCGGTTCCTGTCCCAAAAGCATATACTGATGCTTCATGCCGGAGGTGACTCCAAAAGGGTGCCTTGGGCTAATCCAATGGGCAAAGTCTTCCTGCCACTTCCGTATCTGGCAGCTGATGATCCTGATGGACCTGTTCCTCTCCTTTTTGATCATATCCTCGCAATTGCTTCATGTGCAAGACAGGCTTTCAGAGATGAAGGTAACTCTATCTAGCCTTTGTCTTGTGCTAAATCCACTAACCTGTGTAAGCAATGGAAGAGGGTAACTCTTCCCTTACCCATCACACCTCACGCAATCATGCCTATTGCTTGGATTAGATGAGTATCATATCCATTTCATAAATGGTGTTTTCTCGAAGATTCAGTAAAAGTTTTTGGATGACGCTGATTGACTTGTTTAACTTGCTACCCAGGTGGGTTATTCATTATGACTGGAGACGTTCTTCCATGTTTCGATGCATTCAAAATGATTCTCCCAGAAGATGCAGCAGCAATTGTTACTGTACCTATCACCCTTGATATTGCTTCCAATCATGGTGTCATTGTGGCATCTAAATCTGAGTCCCTTCCGGAAACCTCTACAGTTAGTCTGGTAAACGATCTGCTGCAGAAACCGACGGTAGAGGATCTTTCTAAGAAAGACGCAATTCTACATGATGGTAGGACGCTGCTTGACACCGGGATAATTGCTGCCAGGGGCAAAGCATGGTTGGACCTGGTCACTCTTGGGTGCTCATGCGAACCACTGATCTCAGAGCTTTTGCTCGATAAAAAGGAGGCATGTTCCTTGTACCTTTGTTTGTGTGTTCTTTTGAGAAACTGACCTTGTAATGAAATGATATGCTTACTTACAGATGAGTTTGTATGAAGATTTGGTAGCTGCTTGGGTTCCAACAAGGCATGATTGGTTGCAGACTCGGCCTGTGGGTGAACGTCTTGTAAGCAGACTGGGAAAGCAGAAGATGTACAGCTATTGTGCCTGTATGTTTGGACTGATCCCAAGACTAGAAAAAGTAGAAAAGGTTTCTATTGCAATTGGTTACTTTTTCTCATCCCTTGTTGTCATCTTGTGTCAGATGATTTGCGTTTTTTGCATTTTGGAACATCGAGTGAAGTTCTGGATCACTTAAGTGGAGCTGCCTCAGGAATTGTTGGTCGAAGACACTTATGTTCCATCCCTGCAACCACTGTTTCCGATATTGCAGCCTCTTCTGTTATTTTGTCTAGCAAAATTGCACCTGGTGTCTCCATTGGCGAAGATTCTCTTATATATGATTCATCGATTTCTGGTGCAATACAAATCGGTTCTCAATCCATAGTTGTTGGCATTCACATCCCTTGCGAAGGTCTTGGAACTCCAGAATGTTTGTTCAGATTCTTGCTTCCAGATAGGCATTGTCTTTGGGAGGTTCCATTAATGGGGCATAAAGATAGAGTGATAGTGTACTGTGGTCTCCATGATAACCCGAAGAATACGATTCATAAAGATGGAACCTTTTGCGGTAAACCATGGGAAAAGGTTCTGTCTGATCTCGGCATTGAAGAAAGTGACCTCTGGAACTCATGTGGTACACAAGACAAATGCTTGTGGAATGCAAAATTGTACCCAACCCTAACCTACAATGAAATGCTGAAGTTAGCTATGTGGTTGATGGGTTTGGATGATTATAAAAACAATGAGTTGCTTACGTTGTGGAGAAGCTCGGAACGTGTGAGCTTAGAGGAATTGCACAGGTCGATCAACTTTCCAGAGATGTGTAATGGTTCTAGCAATCATCAAGCTGATCTCACTGCTGGAATCGCTCAAGCATGTATGAGCTATGGCATGCTTGGGCGCAACTTGTCTCAGCTCTGCCATGAGATTTTACAGAAAGATTTGTCAGGATTGGAAATATGCAAGGGTTTTTTAGATCAGTGTCCCAAATTTCAGGAGCAAAATTCCAAAATTCTTCCCAAGAGCCGGGCATATCAGGTACAAGTTGATCTTCTCCGTGCGTGTGGGGATGAAGCAAAGGCTTGCGAGTTGGAACATAAAGTCTGGGCAGCAGTGGCAGAAGAAACTGCTTCTGCAGTGAGATACGGATTCAGAGGTATCTAACTAGCTAAATTTCTCTAAGGTAAATTGCTATTATCTTTCTTATGAACAGACCTGGATAACTCTTCTTTTATTTGTTGTACAGAGCATTTCTTGGAGTCAAGAGAGAAGCCTCTTTCTGTGAATCCGACAATTGTCCATCTTTCTTCTCGTCTGGATAATCTGTTCCAACCAAGAAGGATGAAGGTCGAACTGCCAGTTCGATTAGATTTTGTTGGGGGTTGGAGTGATACACCTCCATGGAGTTTAGAGCGTGCCGGTTGCGTCCTGAACATGGCAATAACCCTTGAGGGTTCACTTCCCATTGGTACAACCATTGAGACAACAAAACAGAGTGGAATCTCGATCAATGATGATGCTGGAAACAAAATATATATCGAAGATCCAACTAGAATCTCTGCACCCTTTGAGGGCAGTGATCCATTCAGGCTTGTTAAATCTGCTCTACTGGTAACGGGTATTATTAATGAAAACTTTGTCCAATCTAGAGGCTTAGAGATCAAGACATGGGCCAATGTTCCGCGTGGTAGTGGCCTAGGAACATCGAGCATTTTAGCTGCTGCTGTTGTGAAGGGTCTTCTCCAGATATCTGGTGGAGATGAAAGCAATGAAAATGTTGCAAGGCTTGTCTTGGTTTTGGAGCAGCTCATGGGAACAGGGGGTGGCTGGCAGGATCAGATCGGTGGATTGTACCCTGGAATCAAATTCACTTCAAGTTTTCCTGGGATTCCTCTGCGTCTTCAGGTCGTCCCTTTGCTTGCTTCTACCGAGCTAGTCTCAGAGGTAGAGCAGCGACTGCTAGTTGTTTTCACCCGGCA